TGTAGGCCTCGGGTTCAAATCCGACCTGGCTCCTCTCCTGTATGTTGTTCCTCTCTCTCTCTCTCTCTTTCCCCTTCTCTGATTTCTGACTCTTAGGCATAAAAAAAAGCCCCAAAATAAAACAAAACACAACAACTCACAAACAGCGAGGGAGTCAGTGTTCGGTCGCTGGAACGTCACAGAGAAGCTGCTCTCAGACTCTGGACGGACTTCAAAGTGCAGGTCACACCCCAAACCTGATGGCAAATTTAAAAAAAAAAAATGTCTTTGTCAATTTCACGTGGACAACATTTTTATGTTTGATCTGATTTCATGACGTCTAGAATTCTTCCACCTGCTGTGTCGCGCTGAGAAGAGAAACAGCTCCTCAGCAGGGTGTTGATGGCACACTGATGACGGAGCAGCTCCAGCACGGCGGGGACGTGGGAGGGGTGGGTGAAGGGAATTGTCTCCACCACAGCGGCACTCTGGGCAGACAGCGCCCATACAGCTCCGGGGAGAACATACCGGTGCGTCTCGCCACCAGAGAGAGACTAACAGAGGAAGATAAAAAAACACAGACTCATCTTTATGTCATCAGAAAGTGCTTGAACAAACATGATTACATTCTAGCAGGTGGGTTTGATTTTAAAGCAAAACATGCATACCACTTCGAAAACAACATCCTGCTCAGCTGATGTCTCCTGCTGAGTGTTTGCACTTGAACGTCTCATCAGAAGCTTGGGTAATGGCGCCCACTGCAGGCCAACTTCTGGCATGGCCACATCTGTGATTTATCACAGAGGAAGAGAAGGTGAAATCTTCATATAACGGTGAAAGAAGAATAAAAAGCCACTCATTTCATTAAATGTTTTTCAGAAAAAGTAGCCTCACCTGTAATTTGGCTGACATTGTGTATGAAAGACGGCATCATTGGGATCGCTGGCTGCAGTTTGAGAAGAAAGACGGCCGGGAATGTCTCACACGGCCCCTCGCTCAGCGGCAGGAACGCAGGATAACTGCCACAGGACACAATTTGAAACACCACAGGCATTCACATTCTCTGTGGGGTGTAAAATGAGTATCCTGCTGAGTGACAGATTAAAGCGTAACATGTTACCCCCGGGGGTCCAGCTGTGCAGGCTGCGGGATCACAGACGCCATCTGAAGCTTGTGAGGCACATCACTGTCCCCCACAGTCACCTGGGCCCCATAGATGACTCTCTCTGTATCTGACAATTATTGTTTTTTTTAAAACAGAGAGAAATTACATTTAGTAAGACTTTGCAAGAAGCAACACATCAAGTTTTGTTTTGCAGCTTACGTTGATCTGACGTCTTCTTTCCATCAGTATGGGTGGTAAAGAAGTGGATCATCAGAGGGCAATCTAGGAGGAGAAACTGAATGTAAATATAAGCTCACTATAGAGTTCATGTAGGGAGTAGTGAATTCATGTGTTCTGTTATTCACCTTCTTTCCCAGTTATCAGAGACCCCATCCTGCCGTTGTTAGTCTTGTCCACCTCAGTGTCAAAATCTTTCACTGTCCTGAAAGCAGAATAAATTATATTTTCAATCATGATTTTTTTCTTTTTATTATTATAAGTATAAAGAAGCAAACAAGATCCACACACACCAAGGAGCTCCTGTCTATGTGACTCTTCAAGTCAACATGCTCTTCCTCAGACTTGAGGAACTTGTCAAGAAATCCTTCCAACGGGAGCTCGTTGGTGTGCAGATCTTTTTGCTGTTCTTTTAGATCCAGCACCCACTTTTTGTTTGTTTTATTATTATTCAGAGTAGTGAAAAATCACATTTACAACTACCTACATCTAAAAGTCATAAACTTAAACTGCTATTTTTAAACAAGCAGTTAACCATATGTATGATGCTGAAACCTGTAAGTATTTGGTACTTGTCATGAAGCACAAGTGGAATACAAATAACTATTAAAACAGATACAGATTTGCATTTTGTTTGATTTTTTATTTATTTTTTTTAATTGCAAGGTTTCATGTCACTCACCTCGGCAAATCTGAAATTTGCTGCAGGTCTTTCGCGAGCCATTGTAGAGAAGCAAACAACTTCATTTTGACTTCACTGCAACAAAAAATAAAAAACATTGTTGGAGGCCTGAAATGATGAAGGTAAAATATTATTTCTTGTGTAGTTTGTTACTTGTCTCCAGGGATGTTGTACTGGGCGTAGAGGCCTTCCAGCTTCACAGAGAACTCTGCAAAATCTTTAGACCTGCAGCCAAAATGTAAACCTCATCTCAAGCCAATTTGAATAAAAAGGTAATCATCAAACCATCCGTCTCATCTAAATCTTTGACAGTAGATTTAATAACGATGCTGCTAGTTGCCATCGAACTTCAACACTGACATGTTCTGTTCTGCTGCTTACCTCAGCAGCTGGAGAAAGATCTCACTGGGCTGAAAGACAATAAAACAGTTTTTTTATTACTCAGAAAATTGAGTATGGTTTGTAGGAACTGTTGAAGACTTACAACAGGAGATGCTCCATGCGGGGCAACTTTGACCTCCTCCACCCCGCCACATGGCAGCAACACCACCTCCAGGTAGAAGAGATCGGCTGTCAGGTAGCATGTAACCTCGGTTATGTGGAAGCCCATTCTACAGAGGAAAGAGAGAGGAAGTAGAGAGGAATATTGTTATATTGCGCTGACACAATATGACAAAATGAAAATATTGCAGTTGACAGGAGAAGTTGAAAAAGAAATGCTGCATTGGGGAAGGCAACGCTCTACCGTTGTTGTTTGGCAATCACTTCCAGACGAGACTTCATGGTGTTCATAGAGGACACTGAAACAAACAAAGAACAACTCACGCTCATTTAAAATGAATAATATTGGATTAAAAAATACAAACAGAATCATTAAAATACAGTGTGTTTACCATTAAAGACCTCCTGGAGCCTTTCCAGGGATCTAACCAGCGGCTCACAGGGTTTGGATTCATCTCTGGATTTGTCCTAATGGGGGGACAAAGAGAAGAAAAAACAACAATGGAGCCATTGTGTGACAGTGTCCTCCTTGTGTAAACAGTCTTTGGTCCTCCACAAGAATCCAAAGTGCACGACACCCTGCAAAGCGGGGGGCGTTGTCATTTGGATGCTTTGCACACTTGGATGTTTTTATAAGCCATGCATGCATACGAGTATGTGCAAACTTGTCATGAATTGCCTTCGGGAGAAGCCTGGTCCTACAAAGTCCTCTTCTGCTTCACTGCTGGCAGGAAAACTGTACGACTCGCCCCAGCTGCCATATCCCTTCGGACCACACATCTCTTCAGACCACCGCCTAATCTTAACCAGACCCCAGAGACTGACCACTGCCAAGCTCCACTTTCTATTAATCCCAAGTATTATCTGCCCCGCTGCTCCACCCATGACAAATCTAATGAAAACGAACACACCCACACAAAGCCTCAGTGTACAAGTTGGTTAACCAGCGCTAAGGCCTTTAATCTAAAATAATGTGGGAGTTGAAGTACTGTACCTTTGGATCCTTAAACATGCAGGGAAAACATACATTTTCCTAAGAATGCAGCATAAAGGGCAATAAGGATAAATATTTTAAAAGCAAAAGATGGAACCTAAAGTCATAGTATTTTCCAAACATGATAGTGCCAAAGCCACAAGGCAAAAAACAACTTAAAATACACATACTGAAGTGCATCCAAGTAACAGTGAATGCACGGCCTGCTGACCCAACAACAAAGACTCATGTGTTCCAGGACAGATGATCTCAGTGCATCTTTCAGTGCATCACCACACCAGTTCCTGATTCATAGCACGTCGTCATATTGGAGAAGCCATCCACTAACAAGTCAGACAACTTTTATTGAAATGAGCACATTATATCTACCGGTACTTTTGATCAGTGCTGCAAATGGGAATTCTGTGTGATCTCCCTGTTTCGCATGGAGAAAAAAAACATGCTTTTAAGATAATTAATGGCAGAGTATAACTGGATTAATCCTACCATGCATCTTCGAACAAGCTGAAAGGTTTCTTTCCATGACTTCTCTGCATACTTCAAGTGCAGCGCAGAGATTATGGACTTTGCCTTCATCACTAAAACATAAAAAAAAGAGAAGAATAAAAAAATCAGTATCCACAAGCTGGTAAATATGAGGGGTGAAGGGAACATGATAAAAGGGTTGATGAAAATGAATATGAATAAAAAAATTATAAATTGGGGTGCCGGTGGTGTAGTGGTTGGTGTGAGTGCCTCATGAACAGAGGCTGTGGTCCTCCGGACGGGTGGGCGGCCCGGGTTCGAGCCCGACCTGTTTTCCCCATTCTCTCTCTCACTTATTAATTTCTCTGTCCTACAGTATCTCTACAATAAAGGCCCAAATAAATAAAATAAAAAAAAAAATGTCTAAATTTAAGACTTATAAATGATATATAAAAGACATGTAAAATGTTTAAATTTGGCACTATTTTCCCCAAATCACAACGTTTTTATTAGCTAATTGAACTCAAATTAATTAAATCACTAAATTATTTATGGATTGAAATGCTTTTTGTCACTCCACTTGAGTTTTAATCACCCACGCTTTTATCATTACATGCTTGTAACTTTCACCCTCATCAGATTAAGGCATTTAAATCAATTTCAGGCAATTTGTTTTTAATTTACAAATAAATAGTTTAAAGGTGAAGTTGTATGCAGGTTGTTATATTTAAAAATGATACCTTAAACCACACATTACCTGGCTCTTGAAAGTGCATTTCACGAAGGGGCCTCTTCTTTTTTTTTTTTTTTTTTTACAAACGTGGCAACATTTATGCGGATTAGCCAATTAATCAATTATCATGCATGTTTAATCCACTTTAATCCTTAATTTATGTTAAACTACAAATAAGGTTAACATACTGGCATGGCTTTGTAACTGTTGTTTCTTATGAGAGAGAGAGAGAGAGAGAGAGAGAGAGAGAGAAAATGAGTCTTACATTCACGTAGGGAAAGTGAAACAGGAGTGTCTGTGTGGTTCTCCCAGGCGGGCGGGCGGGCGTTGTCAGACGGAGCCCGCAGGAGGAGCGTCAGTCTGCGGCGAACACAGCGAGCACCGGCCGAGTCTGTGGAGTTAGCCACAGAGCTAGCCATGAGCTAACAAGGAGCCAGCTGACTCTTTTCATTTCGCCACCTTTACTCCAACCTTCGCCAAACGTCGCACCGGGGTGAATACTGTTTTAATTACAAGTAAGTGATCTTTTAAACCCACATGCGTTGTCATTTCGAGTCTTGCTGTTTTATATTTTATCTGTTTTTTCTCCCCAGTTGCATCATTGTTGGTTGTGATTAGCTCGTTGCTAGTCTCCGTGCTAGCGAGGAAGCTGCTGAGTTTGAAGAGGGTCAGACCGAACATCTGTTGCAGTGTATGAAATGTGACAATATTTATCTCTTTTTTAAGTGTTATTTCAGCTGCTGCACTCATCTTGAACTTCCTCGGATGTTTAATTTACAGTCAAGTGACAAAAACGTGCCCGGTGGGTTAGTTAGTTAGTGAGCTAGCTGCGTCGCCCACTGTCATCAACCTGCTGGTTCACTAACTTGATAATTAAGAGGCTGGTGCGTCGAAATGTGTGATTTCAGCTGTGTTTTTGTTTTAATGACAGGCTGTAAATGTCATTTCTCGGCTCAATGTGTATCCCATTATTAGTATTCTTGACGTGCAAGTGTTTCAAGGCTGCCAATTTCATGACCCACCGTTACACTTCTTGTTTAGCAGGTATGATGACACACCTAATAACAGATCCACCTCACCATGAAGTCACCGTTTAAACTTAAATTACTTCCAACTGTCATTTACTATCTGCATAATACATTTGCTTTGCATGACACTATTTATGTCTGTCGAAAACACAACTTAATAGAATATAGTTTAATTACTTTATTGATCCCAAACTGGGACATTGTGGCTTCACAGCAGCAGGTTATCAAACACACAATATGAGTAAAAAACACAATATTATCAAATTTAAACACAATATAATATTAAATACAAAGTAAATAAGCACTAAAAATATCAGAACTAAGAATGTGAATATATACAACCAGGATTTAACTAAGCATTACTAGTCTTAAATAGGAAGATTAAATATGAAAGATTGAATGCAAATGTGCAAAAACAGAGTCGTAAATGGTTGTAAATTAAATATGGAAGATTAAATGTAAATGTGCCAAAACAGAGTTGTAACTAGACAGTATTGACATTAGTTAAAGTGCAGGAGTGTAGACATATTATAAGCAGAAACTATACAATATAACGCGAGTATAGACAGACAAATGAAGTGAACATGAGTGCAGGGATAATTTGTGAATTTAACATGTGCAGAACAGATTACAGTATGGAGAGACAGATATTATCATGATGACAGTTCTCTGCTCGCATGAGGTGAGCTGTTGTAGAGAATAACTAATCAAAAAACACGATATAACAACACGGACAACGGGAGCTGCTGCAACCGGCGGCCACCTCACACAGCGCCGGAAGGTGCAGGCATTTCTTACGGACTTAAACACTATGGATAAACCTTATATTACCTAAATAGGAAACATACCTCAGCAGATTTGCGTCCTCACAATGAGTGTTTAAGTAAGAGGACAATTCCTTGATTCATTGTTGTATTGACTTTCAGTACATGGACGCATTTTTGTTAATTTGTATATAGACCTATTGGCTGCATTCCCATTTGTCTCCCTTATCCCCATTGGGCCTGGGCTCGGAAAAACAGCATTAACACACACTTGAGGACCCTTATGGTATTCCCATAGTCTTCTTGGACGGTCTGCTACGGGAAATCGACTGCTAGATAGCTTTGGCATATGTCACATTTTATCCATTCCTGTCAAAAGTTTGAAAAGTCTGCCAGATGCTTTTAAAACAGGTTATATTTCTTTGCTAAATGGCTTTTACAGGTTCGACTCGTGAGACTGGAATTTGACTACTATTTGTTTGACATGGTGTAAACAAATGAAAGTTGTGTTTGCATATGTCATGTTTCTTGTTTGGTTTCCTCCCAAGGATGCCAGGAGCAGTATTTTCCCATTGGTTATATAGTTGTCTGACAAATCCAGCATTTGAAAGCTGTCTGCTTTGATGTAGTTAAATAGCTTTACAATTACAGGGTAGCTCCTCGTTCATTTTCATGCTGCTCTACACAAGACTGACCAGCAGACTGTTTTCACTTCATGCTTTTATATTCAGGCAGATGTCCAGTATGACTAAATCAAGAATTACAAGCTAATGTGTCTTTTGATCAACTATGTCTGCATGTAAGGGTGTAAAAAAACTTTTAATTCACCTTTTCCGCATTTTTTACATACGTTAACTTTGAGATGATTGAGATTCATGGCAGTGTTTCACTTTGTGCTGTTTTCAAACACCTGGCCACTATGTGACAGTGTTGTTGTCTATCTTTGGCCATTTGACAAACTGAGACTGGAAGAATTAAGGGTACATGACAAACCTTAACAGAAACATATGCGTATGAAGCAGGCAGAATAATAAAGGAAGGGATCATGATATCATCTGTCTTGAAATAATGTTTTATAATGCATCATTGAACCTTTAATCCTGCATCTATAGGCTTCTTAGCAGTATTTCATGATTCTTGTCCTATATTAGAACAAATGCTTTCTCAAATTACATTTTCCAGTAATCAAATATGTGTGTGTGTGTGTGTGTGTGTGTGTGTTCACTCACTTTATTCATCAGAGGACAGTTAATCATTTTGAGGATGCATAACTGCAGGGAGGAGTGGTGATAAAAAAAAATAAATACTGAAGCAGTTTCTAATGCCTCCGCCCAGTGCCAGTGAATCATTACTTCATTCTATATTCTATATATTCGCTGTAATCTTAACCAGGTACAGAAAACAATCTTTTCATTTTCAATTCCAACTTCATTTGCAGTCTGAAGCTACTTCCTCCTGATTTCATTTTACTGCCATGAGACACTTTGATGATGTCTTTGCAATCTAACTGTGGAAATGGGTTCTGGAGGCTTGGACATGATGATGAAAAATCTTCAGATTTCTCCTGTTTTTCTTCATTTTTTTTTTTTATTGTTCTATTCTCCCCAGGACTTTTACGGTCATCATTTCACACGGTCCCTCCCTCCATCTCAAGCTCCATCTTGAACGTTCTTCCCTTTAACCCTCGGATCTCTCGCTACAAAGAGCCATGGCAGCTGCTAAGCCAAAAGGGCAGAACTCCCTAGCCCTTCACAAAGTGATCATGGTGGGCAGCGGTGGTGTTGGGAAATCTGCCCTCACTCTCCAGTTCATGTATGATGAGGTGAGTAAAATGCGTCACAGCAGTCTAGAAAGATTCACAAGTCATTGGAGTGAGGAACTTTTTTTCTGGGTTTGGAAAAGTGGGCAGGTTGACCCGATTGTTAGCATACATTTATCCTTTTCTCTCTCCTAGTTTGTGGAAGACTACGAGCCCACCAAAGCTGACAGTTACAGGAAGAAAGTGGTGCTGGACGGAGAGGAGGTTCAGATCGACATCCTTGACACAGCTGGACAAGAGGACTACGCAGCCATCCGAGATAACTACTTCCGCAGTGGCGAGGGTTTTCTCTGTGTCTTTTCCATCACAGAACTGGAATCTTTTGCAGCTACAGTAGACTTCAGGTCTGGTACCGTTTCATTGAGACACATTAGGAGTTAATGACAAGCCGCCATTAGGTTTTCCTCTTGTTTAAATGCTTAATTTATTCACTTAAGGCTCATAGTGTAATAGTTTGTTTACATAATTCATGGCTGATGGACATTTCCCGTTGCAGAGAGCAGATCCTGCGAGTGAAGGAGGACGAGAATGTGCCCTTTCTTTTGGTCGGCAACAAGTCAGACTTGGATGACCGACGGCAGGTGAGCGCGGACGAGGCGAAGGCACGTGCCGAGCAGTGGGGTGTGTGCTACGTGGAGACTTCTGCCAAAACCCGTGCCAATGTCGACAAGGTAAGTTCGACTATCTTAAGAAAAGGATTCCCTGGCTGCTGTATGACCAACAATTACAGTTAGAGCACTACCAGAGCAAATAAAGTGAAACCAGCAACTATATGAGTGTAGGTGCAGGGCTTTGGAAAAGACATCGCAGCATCTGAAATGAAATTATGAAACTTTTTAGAAGCTCCTGTAGGAAGTTTTATACTTGATATGAAACTGACTGAATCGAAATCTGTATCTTGTGACCTACAAAAGCAAGCCAGACCATCAGCATAGAGATTGACTATTTTTTCTATTTATTTCTAGTTATTAAAACCCCTGGAACAGCTGCAGAACGGCAGGTGTCAGACAAAGTGATGGACAGCATGCTGCAGACACCCCCATTCTTGTTTATGTTTTGATTACATTTATCACAGCACAAGATTTACAGTGCAGGTTGCATTCAACTTACACATGTAGGACAAAATCATCAGAGAGATATGAAGTACAATTTTGTCCACAGGGGTCGCCAAAATAAACACAACTCCATAGTTCCTCACAGGAGCTTTGAGAATGTTGAACATACACTATGATACACTATCACTCCATGCTAGTGTGCACCATGGTCTCCCCTGCTGTGATGCTCTGCTACATATGCAGCTAACAGCGATGAAGTGTTGTAAATAATGAAGTTGGAGCGCACTCTGCTGGACAAACTTCCTGCTAACGTAATATCATCCAAAGTATTGATTTCTTGATTGTATGTTGGTAAAAAAAAATGTCGCATCAGCACATAAAGGAATTAAATGCTGATGCCAATATATTGTTAGACCAGGATTGGCTCAATAATATAAGTCAACTGAAGTGTCCGTCGGGCTCTTGACTGAGCATTGTTTTAGTTTTTGTTGTTGATACTGAGCCACCAAAGGAACGTAAACCCCATCCTCTTTGTTTTTCAACAGGTGTTCTTTGACCTGATGCGAGAGATCCGGGCGAGGAAAATGGAGGACAGCAAAGAGAAGAACGGGAAGAAGAAAAGCAAAAGTCTGGCCAAGAGAATCCGAGAGAGATGCTGTATTTTATAGTGGTAAAAGAGAGCAGGGCAGCTGCTTCTGTACATATACATTTCTCAGACTTTTGCATTTATTTTGTGCCGATAACCCGACCATGACTCTCTCATGTCTCTGGCTCACAGGACATCTGACCGTATGTCGGGGAGTAGTAGGGTGGCACTACATACACCATTTATAGCTCTAACTTTTTATGTGCTGACACTCCAAATAATTTATCTACTCTCTCTCTCTCTCTCTCTCTCTTCCTCTGACCACATTGCAGAGTGTAATAAATGGATGGTGTTTATTTCGGTCTAAACTTGACAAGAGGCTAAGCCCTGAAATGTAAAAAAAAAAAAGAAAACACACAAAAAAAAAACCTTTCATTGTAAAGTTTGATGTGTAAAATATATTCAGACAACTGTGCCGTTTGAAAGAAAAGAGAAGAATTGAACGTGTCAGAGCTGAGGTTTAAACGGGGAAGTGGATCGTGGTTAGGAAATGAACGCTAACAGACTCAGTGTCAACCCAGAATTCATCAAGTGCCACAGAGGAGATGAATTCCCTGCACTGGTGAGTCAATGAAGCATTTTGATTGAAAGATCTAAATTTGATGCGTGTTGTTTTACACCTGACTTATCATATGTGGTATGAGAATGACTACTCCATCTTTTAATGATTTTCTTTCACTTCTTCTTTTCTGTAAGATAAGTACACCATTAACGTCTGTTTTCGTTTCCCCTTCCCGTCATCTGTGTCCAGCCTTCTCAAATGCACAAGCATCCATCATTGCCCTTGAGTTAGTGAGGGAGTTAACAACACTTGAACTTTTTCAATTCTAACATTTCATGAGTTTCACCTCACTCTGCTAACGGCTTACATTGCCTGTTATTTCTGCGATTTAAGGAATCCCTGGTGCTCTGATGAAAGGCGATTCCAACAACACTACATCCTTTACATGCTGTCCTTAATCCTGAAGCTGATCTAACACATTGCTTCCAGTCATGTAAAGATTTATTTTGCCAATACTACTTTTCCTGGCTCAGACTTTGAATCACAACCCAAATGCATTTCTGAAGCGACTTGCGTGGGATAGAATTAATGGATCGATGGATTTAAAGACATAGAATATCTCAAATGAATGCACTTGAGGAGGTACTTGTCCAAAAAAAAAATAAAAAAAAATGTTGCTCTCAGTCACCAAAGAAAAAAAGCTAGCTAGCACAAACAAGTGCCCACTTGAGAATGGAAGTAATAAAAACTTGCTAACAGTGAGCATTAAAGGAAAGCACCCGGTGTTTGTGAACAAACTCTCTTTGTAAAAGTGACGGTGGCAAAGGTTGAGGAAGAGTCTTAACGGAAAGAGCTAGATTTAGGCCTGAGAAAGAGACGCAACATTAAGGAGGGATTTACTAGTTCATGTACAGTGCATCACTGTTGCCTCTCTGTCCATTGTGAATGTGAATAAATCCCTGACCCCCTTCCTCCTCTCCCCTCCCCCATCCCCATCCTGTTTGCCTGTAATCTTAGGCTGCCAACGATGTGTAGAGTTTGCAGGTTGTTTTGTTTCTGCTTTGTTTACCTTTATCACATTTTGTGTGAGGCTACCTGATTTTATAATGCTGTACAACTAAATGGAGTATCATTTGATCTTGATGGTGAAGTAATGACTTTACATGCAAGTAGAGATTGACAGTGTAAAAAAAAAAAAAAAAATTGGCAAAATGAGATGAACATAGACCAAAACCACACTGTGAAATCTCCCCCTCATTTCTAAAGCGTCCCCTTTATCACTGAACCACTCTTTGTTTAAGCTTTTAAAATTGTCATCTTATTTAATATAACTTATTTATATTCTTTTTTTTTTAAGTCAGCTGCCCAGAGGTTGTTTCTATATTTCACTCTGACTCTGTTGTAGTCATTTCATGAACACTCAAAAGATCCCCTCAACTGACAAGATGCCCGACACTGGAGTCTATGCAAAAATCATTCTTTTGATTGCAGAAGAGATGTGAAACAATTAAAGACACTGTCAGTCTTAACCACTTTAAATAATAATACTGAAGCATTTAAGCTGGTTAGAAAACCCAGTGTAAATCAACACTTTTAAATCGTCTTTAAAAATACTTAAAAATGTCATTTATGAACACTAAAGAATCTCTTTCTTCATTAGAGGCTTTGCTTATCACATAGACTGTACAAAAGAAGTGGACATAACCATTGTGACATCATTCATTGGTTTACGAACCAACTGTTTGAAGCTCTGAATCCTATTGATCGACTGTCGCCATGTTTTATTTATTTATTTTGATTCTGTTAGAATTAGAAGTATTTGGATGTCAGGGTCGAAACACATTGAAACGTCTCTAATCTGGTTGACAGATTGAAGAAACTAGTCACGGATACAACCTGAAGCTTACCTGGCTTTATCACCTTTACCACCCGTTACACTCTAAAATGAAACACTATTCAGAAAAAGAGCGTTGTGCTGTTATTACACAGACTTTAAACTTCCAGTCGAGACCCTAAAGTCATCATGAGACATTGACTGAGGTTATAAATGAACTGAGAAGAATAATCAATATGACTTCAGCATGCACACAGTGGAGTCCCCTCCTGCTGACCGTCAACAGCTCAAGTTTTAACATCTTAAACCAACATCCACTTCTCTTTTATAGTCTATGCTTAGTGACATAGTTCATTGTTTTCATCGTAAACAGACAGTAGTGCGAAAGAATGTCCGAAGCATTTCTTGTCGACTGAAAAAAAAAGCACACAGCAGAGAGTTTTTAAAGATGAGGCAAACTGTGAGGAAAACCCAAACTGTTGGGGACGTCATGGCAACTGAACGCTTGGAAGGTAGTTTTGAGTTGATACTTCTTAAGGGCTAACCTCCCCGTACACCACACCGTGATCAAAACACCCCTGAAAGTGACAGAGACAGGCACAGAAACGGACATATAGTGGAAGAATAACAGTCTGTCGTTAGCTTATGAGCGTAAAATTAACCCCCGTGTGTCTTCAGTGTCGATGACTGCAGAAGCTACTGTTTGTAAAGTGACCACCGTAGTGCTTGCTTTCTCTTAACATCGGCTTTACAGTCTAATTCCTGTCAAAGTGCTTTTTCAGGAGCCAATATTTCTCTTTATAATTCTGTTCTTTGTCTTCATGTCGAGTTTGAAGAGACTTAATGGCCCTTCTATTTTCAATGGAACAGAAGGGGTGAAACTAAAAGCGATCTGTGTGTGTGTAAGCTATGAGCGTAACTGTCCCACTGGGTATTTAGAGAACATGTTTCGCCTTTTTATATTAAAACCCTCGGAGTAAAAAAGTAGATATATAAATGTCTTTTTGATTGGATGGTTGTACGTACACCGCCAATTCAATGTTTCCTTCATGTTGACTTCTTTTGAACATAACCACTAATGTAGCCTATCTGTTTGTGAATGCAAGAGGTGAAGCTTACGTTTCAATTCATTTTTTGTGAGTTCTTTGGAAATGGCAAATAAAGTGGATATTACTAATAACACTTTCCTAATGTATTCAATGATTCTTTGTGTGATTTCTATGTTGAGTTGTTTTCATACATTGAGCAGACGGACTCTAATGGGACTTCTTCAGACCACAGTCCGAGCTGTACTCACTGTTTAAGCATTTTGCACGCAAACGTTTCAGAATAATAAGGGGAAAACATCCTCGATATAGTTCTGGGATGCAGAAATTGACTCAATGTTTTTTTACAACTTTGATTGCAGTCGTCAAAAGGGTGGCTGTAGTCCACCAAGCAGGCGGCCCAGGTTCGAATCTGACCTGTGGCCCCTTTTCTCGCATGTCATTCCCCACTTTCTCTCCCAGATTTCCGACTATCCACTATCCTATCTCTACAATAAAGGCAAAAAAAGCCCCAAAATAAATCTTAAAAAAATCAGATAAATTTAAATCATAAAAAGTTCAATTGGTGGCAGTTTTTCTTTTTTGGGCATATATATCCTGAATATGCCGAATGTCACACCACCTGCTGCAGACCCACCTGATTACGTCTGTGTAGAAGCATGAAACTGCGTCATGTTGATGTGAGCCACTGTAACGTCTTTTGTAAAAGCTGATGCTGATAAGATAGAGAAAACTTGAAGAATTGCATTTCATTGTTAAAACTATTCAAACATCAAATTCATGTGAAGGATATCTTTTCAAAATATTTGACCAGTTATGTTTAAGACAAAACTGCACTGACCTACTTTATTCTGATCTCACTCTAACACATGCAACACATTCAGCTTGGCGATTAGACTCTTACACTGATTATTTCACTCCTACTGCTTGGTTATACAACATGCAGGAAGGTAAAGTTGGATTTACCATTAAAAAAAAGAACAAGGACATTTCAGGTGGTGGTATGCTGCTTGATAAGGCTGGAATTCCAGCGTAAGGAAGCTTATTACTTTGACCTTTGATTTTTTTCAAAAGGTACCGGTAATTCAAATACCTGTCTTTTAAATATGACCTAAGTTGGGTTCCACATTGCTGATGTGACGGACCTGCGCAAAAGTTTTGCTCTAGTCTGGAGGTGGAGTCCATGGGTGGAGATACCAGTAGAGGGGAGGTTTTTTTTTTTTTGTTTGTTTTTTTTACCAGAATATCTGTGCTATGTAGGATAGGACAGGATAATACTTTATTGATCCCCAGAGGGGAAATTCGGGCGTTACAGCAGCACAGACAAGACAGCTCAAAAATACACATTAAACAGAATAGATAAGATAAATGAAAATAAAAACGGGGTATATACAATACAAAATGAATGATGAAGTTAACTGGGGGGAATTGAGAATTGAGACAGTATTTGCAGAGAATGACAAGATAAAGTGACAAGTGATTAAAGTGACTTGGTATGATAAATAGCAGCAAGTAATGTAAACAGCAGAGAAGAGAGGCAGTGTTGTACCACAGTATTTCAGAGTGCAGTTATATAATATTGCAGTTATATATATGTACAGTAATTGCAAAATGTACAGATGTAGACTAAAAAAAAAGTGAATTATTGGGTATATATGGCTGGATTAATGGGGTGCTATAAATATAAATAAATGCTATAAATATAAGTATATTCTTCAGATTATAATATGCAGATTAAGGTGCAGTGAGCATGCTATACAAGATTACAGATAACATACAGAATATGGACATAATTTACAGGTCGTTAACTTATTGAGGTGATTAGTTATCGACTATGAGGCTTATCGAATAAGAAAATATGATAAGAAAAAATTAATTCAAGTAGAAGCCTAATTTGATTAATTTATCAAAGTGTGACCATGATTATGTCTTTTGGTTTTATTTCATTTTATTTTATTTTATTTTTCTTAATTGTTGTTGTTGTTGTGTGTATGGAAGCCTATTTCTGCCAGTTAAAAAAATGAAAATGAAACTAATAAAGTCATAATTATGAGATAGAAAGCTGAAATAATGAGATAAAAAGTTTAAATAATGAGATGAAAAATTTAAATTATGAGATATAAAGTCATAATAATGAGATAAGTCAAAATAATGAGATAAAAAGTCATAATAATGAGATAAAAAGTTGAAATTATGAGACTTTATTATTTTCATCTTTATTTTTTTTACTGGCGGAAATTTTAGTAATATTACTATTATTATTATTATTATTATTATTCGTGTCTCTACATGAATTTGATAACATCTAGATGTTGCTTTGCACTGGGCTCGGCACAGGGTGCTGTTGTAAGACGGGTTAAAGATATAACATGTTACTGTCTTGCCTGCATGGTGTCTATTGTTTGGTCGGGTAAAATGAATTAAAATAAAATAATTGGAATCTAAATTATTATTAAAATAAAATCCCTCTTTTATTTCGAAACGCTCGTGATTGCATTAAATGTTGGCGATAGGGGTTCCCCTTTGCGATGACGTAACCGTTTATCTGGATTACGCATACGGGTACTATTGGTTCACACCGACGCACAAGGCCTGTAGTTTGAAAGCTGTGTCGGGCCCACAGACGAGTAGCCACATTGCGAACAAAGTTGCAACATTTTTTAAATAAATACAAGGCCCGATTTGACTGGAATTACGCGCGCCACCCCCCCCCGGACCGTGCGGCGGCAACAACCCGACAGGAACACGTAGAAAGCAGACGTGTTTTTTTAATTTCATCTTGACTTGAGTCGCGTTGAAACTCCAAAAGCGAGAAAGCTAAGTGAAGCTAGCGTGCGGCTAACCCAGCACAAACTCGTGTTCACTTCCTTGTTGGAGCGAGGATATGGAAGGAGAGAGAAAGTTTGCCGGAGGGAGACGGAGTTTTCTTCTCCCACTCTAACACTATCTGTTTCATGGGTTCGCATGCGTGCAAACATCTCCCGAAGAGCTGGGTTTTTAAAAATGTACCGGCGGTGCTCCGGGCCTTGTGTGTGTTTTTGTGACCATGAGAGTTTAGCCGGACACCGTTAGCTTAGCTTAGCTTCAGGAGGCTAACTCGCTTTTAACCGAGGAGGAGCAAAATCCGTCCTGGACTACAAGACTGGATATATAACTAAACACTAAACTGTGTGTGGGGGGTTTTAAGTGACGGAAGCGGACTGCACTGAAGTGTCATGACACACCACCTCGGGTAATTGTTTTTGAGGCAGCTTTGTGATGCTAACTTGTGATTTAAAGTGACACAGCTAGCCCGATGTTTGGTTTCACGACGCGGTAAGAAACACAGCTTTGGGTGAGGTTAAAGGTTAATTGGGGTGGTGGTGGAGGAGGAGGGGGGTGGGGGGGGTTTGTATATTGTGTAGTTAAATGCCTAATTCGGAGGTGCTTCGGGAGGGTCGGGGACGGAGCCCCTCTTCTAACAGGCGGGTGAAACCGGGGAGCGGTGCTGCTGCTGCCGCCGCTGCTGCTGCTCCTCCTCCGCGGGACAGGCACCGGGAGAAGAGGCGGTCGTCGGCGTCCAGGAGGAAGAAACGCAGACAGGCGAAGGAGAGAGGCTTGTTGCTTGGTGCTGGTGCAGCAGACGGCCCCCCCGGGAAAGACCGAAAAAGCACTTTTGAGAGAGAGGCTGAACTTCGGACGCTGGTGGAGTACGACGACGTGAGCTCCCAGTCGGAGCGGTTTTCGGGCAGCCCCTCTCCCAAGCTGGACCCCCACCACGCCGACAGCCTCTCAGCGGACCGACTCAGCGATGTTGACTTCGGGGAGTACAACGGACCAGCAACCCCGGAGAGAAGCCACACGAGAGACAGGGAGGCTGTGTGTGTCGGCAAAGAAGAACAAACAAGAGGACCATCTGACAGGAGCAAGGAGAAGGAGTCAGGCCGGAGAAGGGACCGCCAGAGCCGGGAGAGAGACTCCTCAAAAGCGAGGAGCGCAGTCGGTCTTAGTGGGTCTAAGAATCACAGAGACACTACAAGAAGCAGTGACAGAAATGGTAAGAGGACATCTACATCTCTATCCTCACAATCTGCAGATAAGAAGGATCCAAAAAGACACAGGAGTAAAACAAGATCCGACAAGGAGCCGCCATCTGCGTACAGAGATGCTCCACAGTCTTACAGAGATGACCGTGAAGACCTCAGGACATACAGGAGAAGTCCTGGTTTGAAAGTAGAAAGTCCCTATGGGACGTCTTATTCCTACAGCTACCAGTCTCCTGGTGGTTATAACCAGCAAATATCTAGAAGAAGTCCAACTTATGGAAGCAAAAGACTGTCTCCCACTTCAGCGTATTATGGTCGGGATGCAGATGTGTACAGCGCATATGGTGTGACAAAGTCTCCCAGTTCGTACTCCAGCAACAAAAGGAAGAGGTCACCCACAAGCCCTGTGAACTATCGCAGGTCCCCAAGTTATGGACGACATAGTCCCTACGAGCAAGGAGAGTTTGGTTCAAGCCCTTATGGGAACCGGAGGAGATCAAGAAGTCCCTACAGAAAGTCGCTGAGCCCAAGTCCAGATGTCAGGTGAGTTTTTACAAAGCAGCTTAGAGGACGATGTTTGCTTATTTTTTGGGGCTGTAGTGTATTCATGTACTGTATTAACACTGTTGTTTATAATTACTAAGTTGTGCTTCAGATTTAATGGTTTAGGATTAGTTAGGGATTTTGCATATTAAAAGTAATCACAAGTTTTAATTTGACTGGTTCAACATCAGTTATAAAATGCAAGGTGTGATATAATTGTGCAACTCAAACAAGGACCGAGTTTTAATTTGCTTGGACCAGATTGTCTTAAGTCTCGCATGTGAGATGCATGTGCTTTATGTACAATGTGTGTCATGACTTCATTTGTATGTTACTATCTGTGGCTCAGTATTCTTCAAATTTACATACCCACTTTTTTATCTAATGCAAAGGGATGGACAGCTGTCATGTAAAGTTCACAAAGCTGACACAAATTCTAAAGGTGTCTCTTTCCTTTCATTACAGGCGATCTGCTAGGTCACGTAGCAGAAGTCCGTATACATCCTCAAGGCATTCGCGTTCTCACAGCCATCACAGACACTCGCGTTCCCGCAGTCGCCCCTCCAGC